AAGGACTAGAAGGCTGGAATATTTTTGCTTTTATTTCTGTCATTTTGAGCTGACATTTTCCACCTTAAGAGACTCAGAGATGTATCAACACCAAAGAAAGTCCAACCCCACGCTGAAGCAGGGGAAAGGTGCGCAATCCCAGCCAAGTCATTTGACAGCTGGGAGGACACACTGGCAGCACTGGGGCTGACACAGAGCACCCCTTGCAGCCTCATGAGCCATGAATCTGAACACGGCCCAGCACTGCTGGAGAAGGTACTGCACTCAGATTTTACCTTCTTAAAAGCTGTCCTACACTCAGTAATAAAAAACCCACCATGCATCAGATCTGCTGCTGTGCTGAACAAAGAGATGCGAGCCTAAGACACAGACTGTGATATTCCAAAAACAAGAAGTCACATCTGGTTAATCTTGTAATATGATGAACAGATTTTGTTGCTTGTGTTTGGTCCTAACAAGGTATCAGATATTACAGAATACATCTAAAGCAACAAATTAGACATGCAAAAAAATTATGTAACAGTAGCTGATGACACCTGGGTTTTAGAACAGCGTCAGAGGATATATTTGTCAGGGCATTCCCTCTAACAACTGGGAGAGAATTTTTAGAAACAGCATTACAGCATCAACTCCTTCATATTCAACCAAACAATGAGAGGGTTCTTCCTGCCCCCTCCTTTCCCCTCCTGCTGCACCTCAACTGCAGGAGCAAGGATGACCAGAAAGTCAGCAGGTCTCTCCTCCTGCATTGCAGGGCTAACACTGGACAGCAAACAAACTTGCACAGAAGATCTGGACATGCTGTTCTGACTCAAAGGCTGAAATTTTACCAACAGACTTATGATGACATTTAGAAAGCAGCAAAGCGATACCTCTGGAATTACAACACACTAATACATAGCAAGTGAGAAAAATATCTTGAGGATTGTATTTTCAGCATCAGTTTAGCTCCCCATGTGCGGGGCCAAGTCAGCTGTGGTAATCAAACATAAGACCCCTCTTGGTTCCCCAACAATGTATCTGCTTTAAGTAACAATAAGTTATTGCACTCAGCATTTGGCAAATACCTGTCTATGTGACAGACTCTTCCGCCTCAGCTATACCACAGCAGTTTTGCAAAGTTCTTGAAACAGACAGGAAACAGCTGGGGCACGTTTTTAAGTGAAACAGAGCAGCATCAATCTGATTCCTCTTTTCTGAAGGGTTGTTTATTATTAACGTATGGCTGACGTGATCTTAGGCAGGGAGTAATTTAGCTCTCTGTGATCACACTAACATTTCTCACTTAGGAATGACTTGGACAAATAACATGTATAATGCTCCCCACAGCTCCCAACAAACCACTTTTTTTAACGGGTTTTCAAAGCCTGGATCCTTTCTGTTGAGGGTCTATGTGCTTTACTGAAAGATTAATTACGTGGCAGCTTGGGCTACCAGTGTCTATTTAAGACCAACAGCATTCTCCTACTTTTTTAACATCTCATATAGCAGTTTTACAAGAAGCGGTGCTAGAGCAGAAATACATTATGATAAAAATAATTCTATTTATCAATTATTTCACCTTACCATTAACATCTAAAATATGTTGAAGGCTAACCTCCATCTAACACGGCGTGCTCTGACAAATTAAAACATTAATACTAACAAGACAAGCTATTAACTTAAAAGAAAAAAAGATAAAAACGGAAGAACGAACCTCTGCCTGGTTAGGGCGCAGGTAACAGATTAACTTTTAAAGTTCAGCTTAATCTAGAGCTGCCTCACTAGCGCCTGTGCGATCAATAACACCAAACCACGAGCCGGCAGCATCATCGCTGTGTTCCTTCAGTGCAGAGCGGAGACAAAGAACAGCGCAGCGCACACCCCCCCACGCTCGG